CCAGGGATCCATGGGACTACAAGATCCAGCCCGGCCAGCTGCCGGGGATCCATGTGACTACGAGATCCAGCCCGGCCAGCTGCCAGGGATCCATGGGACTACAAGATCCAGCCCGGCCAGCTGCCGTGGAGCCATGGGACTACGAGATCCAGCCCGGCCAGCTGCCGTGGAGCCATGGGACTACGAGATCCAGCCCGGCCAGCTGCCAGGGATCCATGGGACTACAAGATCCAGCCCGGCCAGCTGCCATGGAACCATGGGACTACAAGATCCAGCCCGGCCATCTGCCAGGGATCCATGGGACTACGAGATCCAGCCCGGCCAGCTGCCAGGGATCCATGGGACTACGAGATCCAGCCCGGCCAGCTGCCGGGGATCCATGGGACTACAAGATCCAGCCCGGCCAGCTGCCGGGGATCCATGGGACTACAAGATCCAGCCCGGCCAGCTGTCGGGAATCCATGGGACTACGAGATCCAGCCCGGCCAGCTGCCGGGAATCCATGGGACTACGAGATCCAGCCCGGCCAGCTGCTGGGGATCCATGGGACTACAAGATCTCCACCTGCCCTGTGCGTTCCAGGGTGGTTGCCGTCACTTCCTTTTCCGGTCTCTAGTGCCTCTTTATGCGCTGACTCTGTAGTAGCGCCCCTGAGCCCGGGCGTGCTTCATCCTATTGGCAGTGAGATCCATGAGGCATTGTCCTGCATTTGAGTGATCTCATGTTTACTCCTCAGTGAATTGCCATTTCTTTTTGTTTTAATAAAACTCTTTTTTATACTACACTTAGCTGGCGCCCCTCCTTGTTTTTTTTTTTTTTGTTTTTTTTTTAATCCTTTAATGCAAAACCATTGTGAACTCCATGACCACTGGTGTGGCGCCCTCACTGCTTCTCACCTCTTAGGTAGGATTACATGAGTGATTTTATCCTCCGAGGTATATACATACAATTGCTTGTTTAGTGACATAGATCACTTCATCCTATTGGCAGTGGGATCCATGATGCATTGTCCTGCATTTTTACTCCTCTGGGAGTTGCCATTTCTTTTTTTTTTTTTTTTAATAAAACACTTTTTATACTATACTTAGCTGGCGCCCCCCCTCCTTGTTTTTTGTATTTTTCTTTTTTTTTTTTAATCCTTTAATGCAAAACCATTGTGAACTCCATGGCCACTGGTGTGGCGCCCTCACTGCTTCTCACCTCTTAGGTAGGATGACATGACTGATGTGCGGTATAAACATACGATTGCTTGTTTAGTGACAGAGATCACTTGTGTCAGAGTCACAGGCTTGGAAAACAATGATAATGGAGAGAACGGAAAAGAATCACAAGCAGGGCTGACTACATGAGGGCAGGGAAGCCAGGCGGAAGAAAACCCCTTTGTGTAAATCACTGGGGTGGAAAGTTTGGAACAATGGAGGTAATGAGGTGTGGATACAGGCCGGGGGGGGGGGGGTTGGGTGAGGCCTGCCCAGCCGGGAGCGGGAACACGAGATGGGCTTCTGCGACTCTCCGCGTCACTCGGGACCATTGCTCACTTCAGAGCTGGAGGACAATGTCTACAATACGGATACTTCTCCGGGAACAATCTACCTGGGATCAGAGGCAGAACTTCTCCCGCAGAAGCAGCACTTTCACCTGTGTTGTGTGGAGGACAATGTCTACAATACGGATACTTCTCCGGGAACAATCTACCTGGGATCAGAGGCAGAACTTCTCCCGCAGAAGCAGCACTTTCACCTGTGTTGTGTGGAGGACAATGTTTACAATACGGATACTTCTCCGGGAACAATCTACCTGGGATCAGAGGCAGAACTTCTCCCGCAGAAGCAGCACTTTCACCTGTGTTGTGTGGAGGACAATGTTTACAATACGGATACTTCTCCGGGAACAATCTACCTGGGATCAGAGGCAGAACTTCTCCCGCAGAAGCAGCACTTTCACCTGTGTTGTGTGGAGGACAAAGCCCCAAGGCTCCATGTACACTGCAGCTGATGCACTGACGTTAGGAGCTTTTCTGCGTTTTTTTTTTCAGCAGCCCCTGAACTCCCCCTAATGTTTTCCCTCTGTGTCCGTGTACACATCGTCCTTTACAGGCAGTTTATTGAAAGCACCAAACTTGTGTTCAGTAGTAGATTTTATCAGCCTTTTGGCTACGATCAAGTGTAGTATCTGTTCTTATCAGTGTCCAGCGGGGGTGCTCCCGGCCATTCTAGCTTTGCGGGGATGACTGTTGTATAGTACCCCTGCTGGTATGATGGGGGTCCTGATGGCTATTACGGGGGGAACAGAAACCGGGAGCCCACGAGTAGTAGCTGGGGCCTGGGAGTAATTCCCCTTTGGAACGTCAGAGGGGCCCAGTACCTCCTGATTTGAGCAGATCTACCTCGGTCTGGCCAGGGGATCGGGAAGGCAGAGAGTCCGCAAACCAGTGCCCCCTGAGTAGTCGCCTCAGGGGTGCCCTGAGTAACACCTGGGTGTGGGACCCCACAGTGTGAAGATGGCACATGGTCACTGATTTACCACTTTTTCTGCACAGCGCCCTTAGGACCAGGCCTTATGGCTAAGTTCAGGGCAATTTTTGCTACAGGCCTCAGGGCCTGGTCAGTGCACTATTTGGCACGACCACTTTTTTATTATTTATTTAATTTATTGCACCTCCCACGTTTTGTCACTTTTTCTTTACTTATGTGTTTTTCTCACAGGATGGAGGGTGTGGGTCCTCAGGCCTGCCATGAAGTCTAGGGGGAGGATGTGTGGCCTTTTGGTTCCTTCCTCCCCTGTCCTGGGGGTTTTCTCTTCGGGAGAGCCCCCTGACCAAGTACTGGGTGTCCGGCTTCGGCTGGACACAAGGAACGGTGGTCCACCAGGCCTTTTGGCCAGGAAGACCAAATGGGAACCTTGTCCCTGTCAGGAGCTTCGTGCCCCGGGGGGGGATCAGGGTAGTGGTCCAACCCCTTCGGGGGAAGGACAAAGCACACCCTTAGTGCACTTTTTCGTGTGGTGTTTTGCACTTGCACGTTTTTTGTGAACACTTACGGGTTTTTTCGTTATCTGCACGTTTGCGGACTTAAAAAAAAAAAAAAAAAAAAGTAGATTTTATCAGCGTTTCAAACACTTGTAAATACGTGTAACCGCGTTTATAAGCGTTTGCAAATTTTTTTTGGATGATGCTCTCAATGTGACATCCATGCAAGTCCCTGAATGTAGACCGTGTGCGTCCAGGGCTGTGCATCCACATAGCTGTCATAATTGCGAGCAGTGGCTGTGTGTGCAGAAGTTGCGTCCTAACTGATATGACTGTACCTGCCTGCATGGGGATGCACAGGTGTTCATGCGTCCATGCATGCAAGCAATGCAGACGTTGAGTCCAGGGGCAGACTGACAACTCATGGGGCCCACGGGCAATAGGGGATCATGGGGCCCCTGTGTCCTTGCCCAAACTCAAAAAAGCCTATGAAAGGTACCAGTGGCATCTCATGGGACCCCCTACTGACCCCGGGCCCTCGGGCAGTGCCCGAGTTTCCAAATGGTCAGTCTGCCCCGGTTGCGTCCTAATTGATATGATTGTACCTGCCTGCATGGGGGATGCACAGGTGTTCATGCGTCCATGCATGCAAGCATTGTCATCCTAATTGATAAGACCGTACCTGCCTGCATGGGGGATGCACAGGTGTTCATGTGTCCATGCATGCAAGCACTGCCCTTGCATGGAAGTCTGTTGCAGTACACCTGTGTGAACGAGGTCTACCTGTGTATGGGGCCCCATTGAACACCTTACTCCCCGGGGATGGGATGTCACCAGTGAGTGGCCCTCCTTACCTGTGTATGGGGCCCATTGAACACCTTACTCCCTGGGATGGGATGTCACCAGTGAGTGGCCCTCCTTACCTGTGTATGGGGCCCATTGAACACCTTACTCCCGGGATGGGATGTCACCAGTGAGTGGCCCTCCTTACCTGTGTATGGGCCCATTGAACACCTTACTCCCGGGATGGGATGTCACCAGTGAGTGGCCCTCCTTACCTGTGTATGGGGCCCATTGAACACCTTACTCCCGGGATGGGATGTCACCAGTGAGTGGCCCTCCTTACCTGTGTATGGGGCCCATTGAACACCTTACTCCCTGGGATGGGATGTCACCAGTGAGTGGCCCTCCTTACCTGTGTATGGGGCCCATTGAACACCTTACTCCCCGGGATGGGATGTCACCATTGAGTGGCCCTCCTTACCGATCCCTTTATATTCCGGATCTTTTCGATGGCGGACGCCGTTCTCCAGGCCGAGCTCCTGCAATGATATCTGGTAGGGTGGCCTCAAGCGGATTTCCGTCTGCATGTCGGCGAGATTCATCTTGGTGGAGAGCGAGCGCGGGTTATTGAATCGCTGCTTCGTCTTCTGGATGAAATTATCTGTCAGATGAGATGAAAAGCATTAGGGAATGTCCGCTTTCATTAAATTACGCCCACCTTTTCCGGCTGTCCGCGTCTTCTATTATCTGAGCTGCGCCCTGTCAGCGGCGTTCCGATGGGCGCGCTGTTTATCACCCGGCCATCTTCCTGCGGCAGAAAGTAATTTACCTTCTTCTAAACGCCTTACTTATCAGCCAGCCACCTCTATAATTTGCAGCAGCTTGTTACCCGGCTCCGTATTTATTAGACTCGCTTCGCAGTTTGTTACCAATAAAAAGGATGCCGGCGCTCCGTCGGGGCAGAGTCATCCGTTTTATGAGGTGTCAGCGCACAACCGCTAAATCACGGCACAAACATTTTATATCTGTGCAGCAAAATGTCACGGAATGGAGCTCTACGAATAGAGTGCTGGCTTTGTCTGGGCACAAAGGAGCGACCGGGGCGCCTTGTACTGACACCAGAGATGGGGAGCGCTGAGCCGCGCACCAACAATCCTACACGGGGCACTTAGGAAGGATGCGCAACGGGTAATGTGCCGGCTCCTCCCCCTTGCAGCCTTGCACAGGTGTGCCGGCTCCTCCCCCTTGCAGCCTTGCACAGGTGTACCGGCTCCTCCCCCTTGCAGCCTTGCACAGGTGTGCCGGCTCCTCCCCCTTGCAGCCTTGCACAGGTGTGCCGGCTCCTCCCCCTTGCAGCCTTGCACAGGTGTGCCGGCTCCTCCCCCTTAGCCTTGCACAGGTGTACCGGCTCCTCCCCTTCAGTCCTGCACAGGTGTGCCGGCTCCTCCCCCTCAGCCTTGCACAGGTGTGCCGGCTCCTCCCCCTCAGCCTTGCACAGGTGTACCGGCTCCTCCCCTTCAGTCCTGCACAGGTGTGCCGGCTCCTCCCCCCTCAGCCTTGCACAGGTGTGCCGGCTCCTCCCCCTCAGCCTTGCACAGGTGTGCCGGCTCCTCCCCCTCAGCCTTGAACAGGTGTGCTGGCTCCTCCCCCTTGCAGCCTTGCACAGGTGTGCCGGCTCCTCCCCCTTGCAGCCTTGCACAGGTGTGCCGGCTCCTCCCCCTTGCAGCCTTGCACAGGTGTGCCGGCTCCTCCCCCTTGCAGCCTTGCACAGGTGTGCCGGCTCCTCCCCCTTGCAGCCTTGCACAGGTGTACCGGCTCCTCCCCCTTGCAGCCTTGCACAGGTGTACCGGCTCCTCCCCCTTGCAGCCTTGCACAGGTGTACCGGCTCCTCCCCCTTGCAGCCTTGCACAGGTGTACCGGCTCCTCCCCCTTGCAGCCTTGCACAGGTGTACCGGCTCCTCCCCCTTGCAGCTTTGCACAGGTGTACCGGCTCCTCCCCCTTGCAGCCTTGCACAGGTGTACCGGCTCCTCCCCCTTGCAGCCTTGCACAGGTGTACCGGCTCCTCCCCCTCAGCCTTGCACAGGTGTACGGGCTCCTCCCCCTCAGTCTTGCACAGAACTGTAACTACTTACTCTGATTTGATCTTCTCACAATGTGCATTAGAAGCTGCAGGAAGACAGACAGAGCTCCGCCTCAGTTCCTGCTGGAGAACATCCAGCATCATCTAGCTTTCCTCCACAGCCTGACTGTTCCTGGCCCCGTCCCTTTCATTCATTGGATTTCAGTTCTTGCAATCATGGAGGCTCAATATAACATGTGGGCGTTACCAAAACCTATCTATCTAGGAACACCCATTCTTCTGGACTGACACCCACCCATCAAGGCATTTTTCCATTTCGATAACTCCAACCAAGAGACCGCCCTTACTGCTTGCATCAGGACTGAGAATACTTGGGAGGAGTACTGAGGCCAGGGGCTGTGATGTTTTCAGGAAGTTATGTACAGACCCCTGCCAGCCCCTCCCACCAGCCATGATCTGCCTGCATTGCATAAAGAAAAACAGAGACCCAGTGATGACATCAATAAGTCTAAAATAAGAGACATACAAAGTAACATTGTTTATAAACATCGATCAGACGGGAGATAGAGAGATACAAAGTAACATTGTTTATAAACAAACCCGTGCAGACTCCACCTCCGCAACATGCAGACTCCACCTCCGCAACATGCAGACTCCACCTCCGCAACATGCAGACTCCACCTCCGCAACATGCAGACTCCACCTCCGCAACATCGCCAAAATCCGCACGTTCCTAACCCCAGAAACCACTAAACAGCTCATCCACTCCCTCATCATATCACGACTCGACTACTGCAACTCCCTCCTCACTGGCCTGCCTCACCACTGGCTATCCCCGCTTCAGTCCATCCTGAACACGGCTGCCAGACTCATTCACCTTTCCAACCACTCCATCTCCGCCACCCCCCTCTGCCAATCCCTCCACTGGCCTCCACTCAGTGTCCTCCACCCCCCTCTGCCAATCCCTCCACTGACCTCCACCCCCCTCTGCCAATCCCTCCACTCAGTGTCCTCCACCCCTCTGCCAATCCCTCCACTGACCTCCACCCCCCTCTGCCAATCCCTCCACTCAGTGACCTCCACCCCCCTCTGCCAATCCCCCCACTCAGTGTACTCCATCCCCCTCTGCCAATCCCTCCACTCAGTGTCCTCCACCCCTCTGCCAATCCCTCCACTGACCTCCACCCCCCTCTGCCAATCCCTCCACTCAGTGACCTCCACCCCCCTCTGCCAATCCCCCCACTCAGTGTACTCCATCCCCCTCTGCCAATCCCTCCACTCAGTGTCCTCCACCCCTCTGCCAATCCCTCCACTGACCTCCACCCCCCTCTGCCAATCCCTCCACTCAGTGACCTCCACCCCCCTCTGCCAATCCCCCCACTCAGTGTACTCCATCCCCCTCTGCCAATCCCTCCACTGGCCTCCACCCCCCTCTGCCAATCCCTCCACTGACCTCCACCCCCCTCTGCCAATCCCTCCACTCAGTGTCCTCCACCCCTCTGCCAATCCCTCCACTGACCTCCACCCCCATCTGCCAATCCCTCCAATCAGTGTCCTCCACCCCCCTCTGCCAATCCCTCCACTGGCTTCCGATTGCGCAACGGATCAAATTCAAAATCCTAACACTGACGTACAAAGCCGTCCACCATACTGCCCCGAACTACATCACTGACCTAATATCCATAGTACCCCCGCCGCCCAACACGCACACTCCGCTCCTCACAAGACCTCCTGCTCTCCAGTTCCCTGGTCTCCTCCTCCCATGCCCGCCTACAGGACTTCTCCAGGGTGTCACCCATCCTCTGGAACTCCCTGCCCCATACCAACCCATCAGATTATCACCTACTCTCCTCTCCTTTAGGCGCACCCTGAAAACCCATCTCTTCAGGGAAGCCTACCCCACCCCCTGCTAACTTGCTGACCTCCTCCACTCTTCCTACCACTCCATCCCCCACAGCTATCTCCTCCTGTACCACCATCCCCTCCCTCCTAGATTGTAAGCTCCAAGGAGCAGGGCCCTCGATCCCCTCATGTTTTGCATTGTATTGGTATTGTTCTGTCACATGTTTCTGTCCCCCTTTGTAATGTACAGCGCTGAGCGAACTATTGGCGCTTAATAAATACTGTATAATAATATTAATAAACATCGATCAGACGGGTGATGGAGAGATACAAAGTAACATTGTTTATAAACATCGATCAGACGGGAGATAGAGAGATACAAAGTAACATTGTTTATAAACATTAAACGGGCGAGAAAAAAACAATGTTACTTTGTATCTCTATCTCCTGTCTGATCGATGTTTATAAACAATGTTACTTTGTATCTCTCTGCCTCCCGTCTGATCGATGTTTATAAACAATGTTACTTTGTATCTCTCTGCCTCCCGTCTGATCGATGTTTATAAACAATGTTACTTTTTATCTCTCCATCACCCGTCTGATCGATGTTTATAAACAATGTTACTTTGTATCTCTCTGCCTCCCGTCTGATCGATGTTTATAAACAATGTTACTTTGTATCTCTCTATCTCCCGTCTGATCGATGTTTATAAACAATGTTACTTTGTATCTCTCCATCACCCGTCTGATCGATGTTTATAAACAATGTTACTTTGTATCTCTCTGCCTCCCGTCTGATCGATGTTTATAAACAATGTTACTTTGTATCTCTCTGCCTCCCGTCTGATCGATGTTTATAAACAATGTTACTTTGTATCTCTCTATCTCCCGTCTGATCGATGTTTATAAACAATGTTACTTTGTATCTCTCTATCTCCCATCTGATCGATGTTTATAAACAATGTTACTTTGTATCTCTCTATCTCCCGTCTGATCGATGTTTATAAACAATGTTACTTTGTATCTTTCCATCTCCCGTCTGATCGATGTTTATAAACAATGTTAGTTTGTATCTCTCCATCCCCCGTCTGATCGATGTTTATAAACACTGTTACTTTGTATCTCTCCATCTCCCGTCTGATCGATGTTTATAAACAATGTTACTTTGTATCTCTATCTCCTGTCTGATCGATGTTTATAAACAATGTTACTTTGTATCTCTCTATCTCTCGTCTGATCAATGTTTATAAACAATGTTACTTTGTATCTCTCCATCTCCCGTCTGATCGATATTTATAAACAATGTTACTTTGTATCTCTATGTCCCGTCTGATCGATGTTTATAAACAATGTTACTTTGTATCTCTCTATCTCCCGTCTGATCGATGTTTATAAACACTGTGTCAGACAGTCTTTTCTTTCTCAGCAGTAGCCATTACACCCGCTGTATTTACACAGCCACCCCTGACTGTCACTTTTACAGTCTGGAATTGCTGACAAGTGCGGCAGTATGACAAAGGGGCACTCCACATGCTCTGTGCACCTGCCTCTATGTACCTTATTGCGACCAATCAGAATCCATTTTCACCCTTTATGCCTGAATAAGGGGAGATTTCTACGTACCGAATTCGATGAAGGAGTACGGGCGAATGGCGGTGTTGATGTGAACCATCTCGTAGGTTGTGATGAACTCTTTCTGCAGCTCGTCCAGGAAGCAGAAGGCCAGGACGTTGGGGTAACTCTCGGAACACAGCATCATGTAACTGACCCCCAGAGAGGTGATAAAGCTGCGAACAGACAGACAGCTGATGAACGAACGATGAGACGAGCGACAATCTGTCCCCCTGAGCTCCATGTCCTGTCAGAATCACACGCTCAATGTCATGACATCCTGGGAAGTGGAGACGCCGTGCTGGACCCCCCCCCCCCCATTGTATGTTCAGTCTGGAGGCGGGGTACAATCTGAATATTGGATTGGCTGCTTGTTCTAAATGGCGCCGTATACAAGTATTTAACCACTTCCCATCCGGCTGTTGTATATAAACGGCCAGACGGTGGCAGTGCAGGGGCGGGTGGCTGTTTATAAATGTCCTCCCCTCTCCCTGCCTGTGCACGCTCCCAGGGTGCGCGCAGCACCGCGATCCGGTGCCCGCTGCGTTCTCCGGACACAGTGGAACACCAATCGCTGTACGGGACCTCTGTGTGAAGTCCCCGCCAAGCAGGAGAATGGAGAAGAGACCCTGGATCCACAAATACCCCCCGCCAAGCAGGATAATGGAGAAGAGACCCTGGATCCACACATGCAACAGTCAAGCAGAACAATGCAGACCCTGATCCACACATGCACAACCCATGAGCAGAGCAATGAAGAAGAGACCCTGGATACACAAATCCCCCGCCCCAAGCAGAACAATAAAGAAGAGACTCTGGATCCACACATACCACCCCTCAAGAAGAACAATAGAGAAAAGACCCTGGATCCACGCATACCACCCCTCAAGAAGAATAGAGAAGAGACTCTGGATCCACGCATACCACCCCTCAAGAAGAATAAGAAGACCCTGGATCCACGCATACCACCCCTCAAGAAGAATAGAGAAGAGACTCTGGATCCACGCATACCACCCCTCAAGAAGAATAGAGAAGAGACTCTGGATCCACGCATACCACCCCTGAAGAAGAACAGAGAAGAGACTCTGGATCCACGCATACCACCCCTCAAGAAGAATAGAGAAGAGACCTGGATCCACACATACCACCCCTCAAGAAAAGACCCTGGATCCACGCATAGAGAAGAATAGAGAAGACTCTGGATCCACGCATACCACCCCTCAAGAAGAACAGAGAAGAGACTCTGGATCCACGCATACCACCCCTCAAGAAGAATAGAGAAGAGACCCTGGATCCACACATACCACCCCTCAAGAAAAACAATAGAGAAAAGACCCTGGATCCACACATACCACTCAAGAAGAACAATAGAGAAAAAGACCACCACACATACCACCCCTCAAGAAGAATAGAGAAGAGACCCTGGATCCACGCATACCACCCCTGAAGAAGAACCAGACTCTGGAAGAAGAAAGAGATAGAGAGAGACCCTGGATCCACGCATACCACCATACCCCCCTCAAGAAGAACAATAGAGAAGAGACCCTGGATCCACGCATACCACCCCTCAAGAAA